AATGGAGGGGAAGGGAGGTGAGCGATTTTAATGGAGGGAAAGGAAGGGGAGGGAGGTGATGTTAATTTTACCTTGTTTGGAAGGATTATTTAGGAGGAAAAATGAATGTAAATGGTAAACCTTGTTTGATAAGATAAAAAATTAAAAACAATAAAGTGAGGAAGGAGAGGGAAAATTACTTAAAATTTTCCTCTCCCTCCCCTCCTAATTTTGCAACCAAAAAATCTCCATCCACTCCCCTCCAAATCCCTCAAACCAAACAATACCTAGGTGTATTCGTGTGTTTGTTTGCATTAATAGATTAAATATGATGTATAGATAATGCTCCCCTACCCACGGTGGACACATGTTAATATGTCCACCATTTATGTGGCATGCACACATTGGTGATGTATTTGTTTGAACATGTTAACATCATCAATGTGTGCATGCCACATAAGCGGTGGACATATTAGTCCACCGTGGATAGGGGAGCATTACTTATGATGTATATAATCTTTTTGATAGATCAAAGGGTATCCATCAATTTAATTAATCTATTATCTTGTTTGGTGTAGAGTTGCAAAAAATATTCTTAACGTTGAAATTTCATTTTTTTTATTAAGGTTGAAATTTCAATTAGTTTCGTTAAACTTTCGTAGTTGATAATTAAAACCAACCATCTTGATTAGAGTGTTTAGGTTTATTTTCTCTTTTTGTGTTAGAATAATCGCACAAGTATATCCGGCTAACCTTCTTTGAGATCGACCCGAGGAACGAATCTTTCAATTCGGTACTCGATAAAAAATATATTTTGCTACAACACAGAGCTTGCTTGAGAAGGGGTAACTGCAACCACTAGAGTTAGGATCACTTTTTTTATTCAAGATTATACCAAGTTATCGGCCAGTAAATTTGGTCCGCTAGGGATTGTGGAGCAGATGAAGCGAAATTGCGTCGGATTCGAGGGCAAATCCTTTTGGAGAGGAGAAGAATGATGGAGACAAGGACAAGCATCATCTTTGAGATCTTTGATTTCATTATTTATTTCTTTAATTATTGTTAGTACTTTAGTCTTAGAGTTGTTAGTAAAATAAATTAACTATTCTAGTCTTTTATTTGGTAGAAAGGATATTTACTTATCCTTTACATGTTAGACAACATTAGGGCTTTTTAGAATTTTTAATTAAAAATAGTTATTCTATTGTGTTTCAATCGGTTGAATTTGATTAATAAATATATTTGAGAGTCTTTCTCTTGTTTTATCGCTTTCGTTTACACTTTCGCTATGTTAGATCTCCTTCATCTCCATCGTGCCAGCTTGTCTGTTCTTTCTATTTCTTTGGGTTGGTTGCTCTGTTACAAACGTCCAACATCCATATTTTCACGAAAATACCACCCTTCCTTCACCATCAAATCTAGGACTAGCCGTGGAAGCTAGAATATGACTTTTGCAATGTTAGTTTTACTTTGGCATGGACGATGTTGATTTTTTTCATTGTCGAGTAGGTAATAAGTTTGCTCCCTCTTTGTCAAGTAAAACCATTTCTCATAGATATGCATATAATTATACATTCTCTTAAACTTTGGCTCGTTCAACGTTATGTTATAAACAAAACGGTAGTTGCGATGTTCTATTTTCATCTTTCAAGTGTGGTTTGATGGCACTTGAGTGACGATGTAGAATGCCTCACTTACAAGGTCTGTATATGATGAGCCAAAATAATTGACTCACCGAGGTTGCCGGTCGAACTGCCTCATCTCGATTGCGTGAGAGTTCGAACATCTCGATCGTCTTCGTCTTCAAGAACCAGATCGACCTGCAAAGCGCCGGGGCAGACCCCGGCGTAGACACTTTGACGATCAAGTCAGCAAAACAGATGTTTTCTCGTGTATTTCAATAATCTTAAGAGCTTAGGATTAAAAAATGAACATGGTCCCTTATTTATAAAGGGTTTAATGACTTACTCCCCAAGATAATGAATTCCTCAATAAACAAGAATTCTGATACTCCTCAATAAATGTGTAGATATACACTAACTTTCATGAATATCTAATACCGTGTGTCACATAAATAAGCTCTAAGCTTCCTTGGACCGGCCTATCCGAGCTAATCGCTCAGGCCGGTCCACCGAGTTATTCTTCGTGCTACATCAGTATAGTTTGGAATAACTAACTCATAAAGCATTAGAAAGAGATGTAAGTATTGTTCGTTGATGCGACTCTCTTTGGTGGATCCTACTTAAATCTACCTCAATTAGTTTACGACCACAATTTCGTGCCTTCCTCGACGAAACATCTACATCTGAGCCTGATAGAGTTCTCTTGAGAATTTTCTATAATCTTTGAACTGTTCCAAGCTCATCAATATTGAAAATATATTTCACTTCATTTGTTATATTCTTCTTCAATTTACTATTTACACTTTTCTCCAACAAAGCATGGTAAACTGTCCACGGTTCAATGCCAGTCAGGATCTTTTATTTCTACCTTGAACAATGCGTATTAAAAAAAAATGGTAACTAAAATTATATAGAGAACCAAGAAATTTGGAGAAAATAACATCAAACAAGCAGGATATAATCCTGATACCAATAAAACTGACATTGTCTTGTTTCTCCCATTTCATCATTGCTGCCTTCAAACTCATTGAAAATCTCTTATTTACCCAATATTACGTGCCCTTGAAGTACTCCTCATATGTCTTTATTTTCCGCACCACCATTGGATTGCTGGCCAATTACCTCTTCCACAGGAAAATCGAACCACATTTTGTCATCATCTTCGTAAAACTTGTTTAAGTCAAGCTTGATATTATGGTATCCAATTTTCGGGTTGTCGTCAACATTTAGCTCGACTATAATGTTTTGTGAAAATCTCGGGATTGCACCTTCTACATCATAAGGAGTTCGTTCAAACCGATTGGAATATTTGAAGCCATTGCAAATGTTTATCGTGAGGTGCGGTTTAACTAAATTATCCACATTTATAGACCTTTGCAGGTGTTGCTTTACAAAATTTAAAATGTTGGATATGAATTTTGATTTTACCTGCTTCTAGAAATTTCGGCTCCATATATGTAAGGTGTTGAAGAAATGATTTTACCTCCTTGTTGTGAATTATGTGAAATTATAGTTTGAGGAAGAAAGTTGAGAGGAAAATTGTGAAAAACGACGAGTTTTCACTTCTAAAACAACATAACAAAACTGAAAGAAAAAATATAACAAATGTTAATTTTCTTAAATAAGCTAATATTGGCGAGAATTTTTTTTTTCTTAATTACTGTATTCAAACACAAAACCATATATGAAAAGAACAGGAGGGAGTCATTATTTTATGGTTTATGAATAGTTGATTTAAGGTTTATTTTTGTCCTTGATATTTAAATTGCATTGTTTTCACTTTATGGCCCGTCTAGGTTTGATAATCGATGTCGTATTTAAAAAAAATTCAAATAGTGTATTAATAAATATTAAAAAGAGTCAAAAATGATATATTTAAAATAAGAAATTTTATAAATAGAAATTAGAAAGCTGTCAAGTGTCCCTTCAAAGCACGATTTAGATCGACTTGATATTATATACTGGGACACAGTTCTTGTTAAAGTTCTCCCACTTAAGTCCGATTCACACCATAGCCAGGGAACATAGATGGACTTCTCGCCGAGGTCCCGGCGACCGCGGAAGCCCCCGCCGCCCAAGAACTCCGATTTGTATTCCACTTTCGTGATCCACGATACGGACGACGCGGCGCCGCGGGAGCCCGAATCCGGCCCAGGCTCATCGGACATATACGCCACGATGGTGTACAAGGACGACGTTCTCGAGGAAGAGGAGGAGGATTCGCTCCCTCCTCTATTGAAGCGCCTCCCCAAGGACTTCGGCGGCGGCGGTGACGATCTCGGCTACTCCGACGATGACGGCGGCGCCGCTGCGTCCATCTCCGGCACGATGATTGTGAAGACTGATCGGAGGAGATCGAGTTTCTCTGGGAAGGACTCCAGCCGCTCCTCCCCGTATGTGAAGCCGAGGAGTGTGCCTGCCACGCCCTATGGGGACAAGAGAAGCCCTACCGGCAAAATTGGGAACAATGACGGCAGCGAGGAGGAATCTGGGGATTTTGGGACGTTTGTTGTGAGGGAGAGAGACGATGAGGATGAAGAGGACGAGGAGGATGAGGATGAAGGGTTGGGGACGATGGTGAAGAGAGGAGGTGGCGGTGGTGGGGGGACGATGAGGAGGGCGGTGGAAAGTATGCAGAAAGTGGGAGAGGTTAGAGGACTTGGGAACATGAGGCAGAGGAAAAGCAGCAGCGGTGGTGGTGAGGCCGGCGGTGGAATTAAGCAATTGCGGCAGCAGGGGAGTGGGAAGGTGTCGTCTAGCTCGATACCCGACTGTATGACCAAAGAGGATCCTTCTACTAAATATGAGTTACTTCATGAGCTTGGTAAATTTTTTACTTTGGGCTTTAAGTATTACTATGCTTCTACGCGTATGAGTTGCTCCGTGAGTTTGGTAATTTTTTTTTTACTTTTGAGCTTTTAGTCCTGCTTTTCAGACCTCATTGGGTTGGTATGTGTGTTAACCCAATGGCGGAACAGGTGTGGTATGCATATTGAGCTACAAGTGAATCGTTTGTTCGACTTTTATTCTAAATATGGTAATGGGGAATGCATAGAAATTTTAGCTTAACCTGGTTGCAATTAGTTTGTAGATTGTAGCTTTAGTTCTTTTCTTTCCTGGATGGATTAATGAATTGAAATTTAATGAGTGTAATTGTGATAGTATTATAGTATAGCATAATTAGAGTTGTGTCCGTTACTGTCTTGGGGGATATGCATGCACGCTACATATGGATCATGTGTAGCTATGTAGTGGCCCATCCCATCCCGTTCTCGCGCACAAGCAGGGTGATACAAATCGCTAGAAGCAAAGCCATGACTTGTGTGATACTTGTAGTGGAGGGCATGTCAAGCTTGTTCAATATGGAACAATCTCCATTCTAAAGTCACAAGCATAAATTTTAGTGGTCACATGTTGCTAACACATAGCTAACTTCTATTGCGCTTGGCATAGAAAAACTGATGACCGGTTATTGTACTTTTTTTCCTTTTACAAATGTTAATATTCAAGTGTATTTGAAGTTGATGCTTTTGTCAAACAGGGAAGGGTTCATATGGGGCAGTCTATAAGGCTCGAGATGTAAGGACTTCAGAATTAGTTGCCATCAAAGTAATATCATTGTCTGAAGGGGTACGATTGTTATCACTTGCATCTGATATTGCTTCTTGATTAAGAAAACATTATCCAGATCACAGAATGTTATGTGTTTTCCAGGAGGAGGGTTATGAAGAAATTCGTGGTGAAATTGAGATGTTGCAGCAGTGTAGTCACCCTAATGTTGTTCGCTATCTTGGAAGCTACCAAGGAGAAGAGTTTCTTTGGGTCAGTGCATGGTTTCATATTTCTTTGTTCCTGTCATTAGTGGCTGCTTTGTGCTGTTTATCCATTTATATGAAAATTGGGGTTGGGACTTCCTACCCTATATTGAGTGCAGTTAAATTGGTTAAGTTTGTTGAAACTTTGGATTTGTTGGCAGATAGTAATGGAATACTGTGGGGGTGGAAGTGTTGCTGACTTGATGAACATTACCGATGAGCCTCTCGAGGAGCATCAGATAGCATATATATGCAGAGAAGCTTTGAAGGTATCAATATGGACCCTGTTTGCTACAACATCTGTCAGTTTATATGTTAATTATTACTATAAACTTTAGCTCCCCGCTTGATAATTTGCTTCTTGTAAAAAATCAAAAGTATTATTTTTTTTTTTTCATTTTTATTTTTTTCAAAAATAAATTCGATATCCTAATATTGAATATTATACATATTTTAAAATGGCAACGCTATGGCGAGAGGTGATGATGAAGGTCTGCCTTGGCAAATTAGAGTCACTTTGACCGCGAGGCAGGCGCCTCAGTTCTCATCAGCTCGCCTTTTCGCTTGGCGAGGTGCCTGTGAGGCGCGTCTTAGCGCTTCTCTATTTTAATAAAAGAAAACGCAACAAGTTTTTATATATGTAAATAGAAGACGTAAAATTAAAAGAAAAGAAACGGGCTGGTCGTCGAACCGAGCTTTTCACGTACAAAAGACTAGTGTTTAACTACGTGTGTTCCAAACGGGATTGTTGCTTATTTCTAGTATTTAACTATGTGTGTGCAAATTTTTATGTTTTATTTATACTTTCCTAAGTGGTGTTTGTGCGATGCACTATTGTTTCATTTGTGTTCTTGCCTTTGGGGATATATTTGATGTTTTTTTTGTCATTGGAACATAAATATACAATTGCATCATCTATAATATTGTTTTTTTGCATATTGGTGGCTTCTGTAGCCGAAGCCTCGCCATGGCAAATTGCCTCGCCTCGTCATTCACCTTTTAAAACTATGATATTATACATCTATTAATATAAAAAAGGATAGGGATTTACTTGAAATAGCATGTAAATTCCCGCCTAAATATTTCGTCTTTACCATATGTGGAAATTTTGAGAATAATTTGAATTTCAAATTTGTACGGTTGATTAAATGAGCATGAGATAAATAAGTATTGTTTATCCCTACAATTTTGCAAACAATATTTTTTTTTCCCAACAAACAATATTCTCCATACGAAATAAGCACTATTTTTTAGCTAATATATTGTATCTACCTACAATTTTGCAAACAATATTTTTTTTTTTCAACAAACAATATTCTCCATACGAAATAAGCACTATTTTTAGCTAATATATCGTATCTATCACTTTGGAATTGGTGGAATTTGATGTTGGACTGCTAATGTTTACAGGAATTAAAGATACGTGCTATAAGCTTTTATTATTTTTATATTTTAGAATCTATCTGTAAATTGATCTTTGTATAGTTGATAACATGTGCCTTGAATTAAATTAGTAGAAATTTTCAAGAAAACTTCACTATTTTTGAATCTAACATTAAAATTGTATAAGGCTTATTAATTGTACTTACAATATAATATAATAACTTTATTTAAAGTAACGTAAAAAAAATGAAATTCTGTAATGTGAAGTAAATTCATAGCTTTATTTAAAATAACCTAAAAAATAGTAATTCTATAATTTTGACTAATTTCATGGAATGATTATAGCATATTTTGCTATTCTAAAATCTTACGAATATACTTTATTTCACTTAATAATTGGTATATTAATATGTTGCACAAAAAATTATTCAATTTCGTACAGTCAATCAGTATTTGAAATACAAATATCAGATCACAATAATTTTCACCGGATATTGTAGTTATCAAGTATTATAAAATCTATCATGCTCACCAAAAGATTTATGGGGCGATTGGATATAATTTCAATAGTAAAAAAATCAATCAACACTCAAATTTAACTCAACTTTAACCCAACTCTACTATCTTCAATAGGGTAGATTGCAGTTTTGATACCCAAACTAAAGCTCATTTCGAAATCAGTACCTGTTTTTTAACATTTGTAAAATCAATACCTGAACTTTTACTCCGTTAGCAACTTTAGTACCCTGCCGTTAGATGTCCGTCATAATTTAACGGCTGGGTACTAACGTTGCTACCAAAATGGAAGTTTGGGTACTACTTTTAAAATGGTCATTACTTAGGGTATCAAAACTGAAATTTACCCTCTTTTCTTATAAACAGTCGAAGGAGCGCTTTATTGTTGAAAATAAATGGTACATATGCCTTATATATATAAGTTTCATCAGACGCTCCATTTTGACCACTTCCGTTAAAACTAACGGTAATTTGACGGGCATTTAACGGCCGGGTACTAATGTTGCTAACTGAATGAAAGTATGGGTACTGATTTTGCAAATGTTAAAAAACTGGTACTGATTCCGAAATGAACTTTAGTTTGGGTATCAAAACTGCAATTTACCCATCTTCAATATTATAAATATAATTAAATAATACCAACCAATCATTCTTACATATCACATCAACTTTAATTCACTATTTATTATCTCACGTAATTTTAACTAACTAACACTTCCAATCATTTTTCTCTTATTTTTCATCATATCAGTTTTAATTATTTTATTTTAAATATTATTTTAATATATTCACTGCCAACTAACCATACCAACTTTTTTCAAACTTCATTATAGTTAAAAAAACACCAATTAAAAACTAGTTGAATCCATAAACAATCACCCCTTAACATCCATAGAGCTTAAATGTCAACAAAATCAAGTTGATTTGATAGTAACAACATCGCCATATTGACCAAAAACAACAAAATTAAAATCTTGAAGATCACTTTTATTTAAAGCTATATACTTGGATAACATATAGAATCATATTATGCGAAATATCCACCTTATCGTAAAATCAATGAAACTTTTAAATATGTCTACTAATATATAAAAACTGAAGCATGTACCTTTAATTTACAGCCTCAAAATTTTTGTTTTTACTCTTGATTTTTTTATTTTATTTTTTATTTTCGAAATCCCTCCCAAAACACGTTTTATAATTATTTAAAAAAGTCAATGTAAAAAATCCCCAAATCAACTAAATCTATTTATTAATACATAACAACAATAGAGATTTACCTTAAATAGAATAGAATGGAAAGTTCGGGTTAAAATTTCAGAGCTTCTATTGTTATTATTTCTTTTAGTGAAATGGCGGTTACTTTCAAAATTTGAATTGAAATTTAAGAAATTTGTTATTTGAGTAATATATTATGTTCAATTTATTTCCTAAAAACATGGGAAATTATTTCTTTAAATTGGAGATCTGATTTTAAGTAATTTCTGGCAATATATTCAAAATCACTTTCATATCCAATTGACATCCTATTTATATATAGTTTAAGAATCCAATCTCCTTATAATTCTTTAAATTAGCTTTGACGATTGTATATAGTATAAAAATATAATCCACTTACAATCCCCCCCTTCTGGTGCTTCGGAATCCCATGTGGCAAAATTACATGCTTCGTTATTAGACTTGGGTAAATTTTAATTTAATTCCAAACCAAAAATAATTAGGTTCGGATTACCATAAATATGTTGATTATTTATGTTGA